TCCAGGCATCAAACAAAAACCTACATACACTTGCCAATGAGCATGCCCTTGTGATTATCGCCCTGAGCCCTTCATGTCATGTTCAAACCAGAAAACCAACCTCTTCCACAGGTTGAAGGAACTCTGGAAGGAACACTACTGAGATTGAAATCGAAATTAAAAGCTGATCCCTTCAAACCAATCAAAAAGACAATCGCAAAACAAGACAACCAAACGCAAAACATGTTAGTTACAAGCTGCGTCTAAGGTCTCCATGCTTTCGCAAAGACTTTCGGCTTTGAGGGGTGCTGCTTATTTTCGGTCGAGTTGTTGCGCACTATCCGTGGTTCAAGCCCCCTGGAAAAGTGAAGACGGTACACGAACAGAACCAGAAAACAATGCAAATCTACAGCACCCTGTGTTATGCAAGAAGCAGACCCGCGCAAACATCAACTTAGACTTAAATTGGCCATGGACATTGGGCCGGGCAGCTACGGAGATGGTCTTCGGCGTCCACTTCAGGTCGTCAGGATTCGCGTCCAGCACAAAATTGCCCTCGCCAGCGGCAGCCAGCGATGCCCGCGGAATCTTCGGAGGCCCTGCCGGAGACGACGGCTTTGGTGGCGTCGCCGGTACGACCTGGAGATGAGCAGATCTCTTTCAACAAATGACTAGAACCTCCTTTTCAGCTGTTTGAAGGCCTGTCAACACCACATCCTATGTCATCTAGCGTCATCGAACCTGAATCATGTCTGAGTCTTGGAATCAAACTACAGTAGTCAACGGTCAGTCCTTGGCACCACGCACTGCTGGTTGAGGCTGAAGAAATGCGGTGTTGTCGCGAGCTTCTTGAAACGGGGGCGGCTGTACTTCTGGGTGTTCTACTACTGCTTGATCTGGCTTCATGCTCTCGTGCAGCAGCAAAGACCAAATCCTAAGATTCTGCTTGCAGTGCAGCATGGTTGAAAGTGGCTCGAGCACTCCACCTTTGGCCAGCCGAAAACCAACATGAAAATATGCTTGTATATATATATATATATATATGTATATATATATATATTGTGATGTATGTGTATACAAATATATATATATATATATGTGTACATATCAGCAGTACAGGCATGAACCATACGGAGCAGTCGGCCAGCTGCGCAAACGAGCATGCAAAGCAAATTGCAGAGAGTCCTCCACCAGCAAGCTTTAGCTGATACAATGTATATGTATACACACGTTATGTGTGCGTGTGTGTGTGTGTGTTCTGTCCTTCTGGCCAACCATCCTTGCTTACCTACTGCATGATAAACTCTAGATCTTGTAGATCTTTTAATATATGGTCACCCCCCCCTGCATGACCTACCGTTGTCTTTCAAAAAGTCGTTGGGGACCATTAGCAGACAAGAAAAAAGTGAAAAAACACATGTTTTTTATGGTTTTTGATTAAGAAACAACACAGTCAACCATTGAACAATTAAGAAAAACCAGTGTGTTTTGATGGTTTTAGCAAAAAATGTGCAAAAACCCATGTTTTTTTAGAAAAAAACAGGAAAGCATTCAAAAAAACAAGTGTAAAAACTGATATGTTTTTCAGATAGATCCCTAAGTCAAAAACTAAGAATTCCCTGGGTTTTTGATGGTTTTGCAGTAAAACCTTCAGAATTCCTTGGGTTTTTAGCATTTTTCACATAAAACCAAGAACACCTCGAGAAAACCAAGAATCCAAGAATCCAAGATTTTCAGGTAGATGTTTGGTCCACTACAAAATCTTGGATTCTTGGTTTTCTCGAGGTTTTCTTGGTTTTCTTGGTTTTACTTGGGAATTCTTGGATTTCCAGCAAAAAACCAAGAATTACTAGGGTTTTTTTGGATTTCCAGCAAAAAACCAAGATTTACTAGGGTTTGTTTGGATTTCCAGCAAAAAACCAAGAATTACTAGGGTTTTTTTGGATTTCCAGCAAAAAACCAAGATTTACTAGGGTTTGTTTGGATTTCCAGCAAAAAACCAAGAATTACTAGGGTTTTTTTGGATTTCCAGCAAAAAACCAAGATTTACCAGGGTTTTTTTGGATTTCCAGCAAAAAACCAAGAATTCCCAAGTAAAACAAGGAAAACCAAAAAAACCTCGAGAAAACCAAGAATCCAAGATTTTGTCGTGGGCCAGACATCTACATGAAAATCTTGGATTCTTGGATTCTTGGTTTTCTCGAGGTTTTCTTGGTTTTCTTGATTTTACTTGGGAATTCTTGGATTTCCAGCAAAAAACCAAGAATTACCAGGGTTTTTTTGGATTTCCAGCAAAAAACCAAGATTTACTAGGGTTTTTTTTTTCCAGCAAAAAACCAAGAATTCCCAAGTAAAACAAGGAAAACCAAGAAAACCTCGAGAAAACCAAGAATCCAAGATTTTGTCGTGGGCCAGACATCTAACACAACAGAAATACCAGCACCAACTGAAGACGAAGAAGAAGAACCACAAAAAGATAATTTTGAAAAATTGAAATCTTAATAATAGCATATATAATGGGTATTGGTAAAAGTAAAAATAATGAAAATAATAGTTTGGAAGACATTAAGAATTTAAGTATAGATGAAAAAACACGAGCAGACACTTTAATTATTAAATCTCTTCAAGAATGTGTGACACGAATTGAGAAACTAGAGAAAGAAAAATCTGACAAATTAATATATAAACTTCCTGCCTTACAATTTTGCAATGCTTCGTTAATTTAAATTAATAATATTAACATATAATAATATTATTGATTGCTATCATAATCTGTCATTTTATCCTCTGGTATTGTTGTTGAAGTAGTACTACTTATATCATCTATTAAATCTTCTTCATCAACAAAATTATTTTGACATCTTAATAATTCCTCGTCTGTTGCCCTTCTTTTCAATACTTTATAAAGTTTATGTATCCAAGAATTAGTATGAAAAATACAATTACCTCTACGATAAAATCCACCACATCTACATAGGTTCATTGGCATATTACTATATTATATTAAATTATAATATCTTTATTCATCATTCGTAATTTGAAATGCCTGTTCAAATCTGATATGAAACATTTTGTTAATGTCTTTAGCATTCATATTCACGTAGAAGAAACTATAAGGTGTGTCATTAACGGCTTGATGATACATATCTAATAATTGCTGTTTATCAACAATGGCGCTATTTTCTTCAATAAAACTCATTAACTCACTTGCATTTTTCAACCTAATGAACTGGCATTTAAACGAATGATAGGCACTAAAACATTATATTTTGTGTTGAACCAATTACACTTACTGCATCGTGCCTGCCTCTTGTAAAAAGTCCGTGTAATAATTTACTATATCTAACAAATTTAGGATTGTCTGCGTGGTCATCTACGACGATAAATATTGAATGCGTGGTCATCTATAACGATTAATATTGAATGTAGTTTCTTTATCTTTTTAGACTTCATATAATTAATTATTTTCTTCTGTCTTTCAATTACATTTTCTAAATCACTTGGATTATAATTAGCAAAATAAATTTGTTCTTTTTCATCATCCACGTGCAATTCATCCCTGATGTATTTTTTAACTTCTGTAAAAGTTGGGTCATTATGAACGCTGGGGGAAAATATAAATATTCCTGCAAATGAATTTCTATAAACATTCAAGATAAGGGTTTGGACTAAAACTGTTTTGCCTCCCGTCGATGAAGCAACTATAATACTTCTAAATGGTAATTTTAGCACGTGCTCATATGTGGATTGTTTGAATTCATATTCAGTTATGTTTATTGGTTTTATTATTGGGACATCTGTCATAGTTGATATTAAAGAAATATAGAAAATTATATTTAAAAAAACTTGTCATTAATATTAAATGGAACATCATTATGTTATGAGTGGCGGTGAATAACATAATGGAACAGGTTTTCCATTGCTTCAATCAATAAGCATTGAAGATAATTAGTTTTGTGTTTTGCTCGCGTGTGCAATGAAAACCAAGTGCTGTGCCGGGCAAATGATAGATGAGATCCTGCTTTTTTTAGCTAAAAGGTAGGTCATGCAGGGGGGGGTGAGCATATATATATATGTGTACATATCAGCAGTACAGGCATGAACCATACGGAGCAGTCGGCCAGCTGCGCAAACGAGCATGCAAAGCAAATTGCAGAGAGTCCTCCACCAGCAAGCTTTAGCTGATACAATGTATATGTATACACACGTTATGTGTGCGTGTGTGTGTGTGTGTTCTGTCCTTCTGGCCAACCATCCTTGCTTACCTACTGCATGATAAACTCTAGATCTTGTAGATCTTTTGCTGAGTAGTTTTGCTGGATCAGGCCAGGTGGCTGCAGAATGCAAAGCAGGGTCCATCTGAAGCAGAAGAATCGCCATGGCGATCGCCGCTTCGGGCTAGACCGCAACCAAAACCATGCGTCGAAGACTGCCGCAGCACAAGACAGGCAAAGTGTAAGCCTCATTGGCCCAGAAAGACCAGACACCGGCTGAAGATGCGACAGTCTGAGGTGTACACGAGTCTGGCTGAAGCCCGGCGACAAGTGCTGCAGCTGGCACAATCCACCTGACGTGTTGCGAGACAGCTGTACGCAACACATATTGACATGGCTAAACACACCTGCTCAAGGGGCAGCATGCGCACAAATAAAAAGAGTAACCACACATATTATGATGCTACATGCAAACGTGGACACATGGATGTGCAACTAAGGCTTGTTTGTTTGATGATACCTTCTTGTGTCATGCTCTCCAAGCTGAACTGAGCGCTTGTCAGTAAAAGTATGCGCAGCAGCAATTCAGCCATCAGCGCGACTCTGCTGCCATACACAGCCGATGCAGACCAGAAATGTTGCAGAACATGTCTGCGGTTATATGCTCGGGCTAGGTCAAGCTGGTAGTTGGCAATGCCTGCTTCTAAGTGGCTCGTGCTAAAGCCAAACGGCGCACTCAGTTCGCTCATGCCTGCACACATACCAAGGCGGTCTGCCAAACCAAGATCAGTCACTTCGTGGGCCGGCCTCCCCTGCTGGATGGGGAGACCTCGTGTCTCGGCTCCAAACCCCGCTGCACAGAATGAAGCTCTGAGGATCTCTCGGAGAGCGCTGCGAGGCCAGACCTTGTGAGCTAGCTGAGCCAGAGCAAAGAAAACAGCATCGCAATCATTGCACGCACCCTATGCGCGGCCAGAACTGCCCATGAGAAGGCTCTCAAGGTCGTCAAAAGGCTTGAGTATAAGGGTCCGGCTCGGCTGCCACCCAGCCCTGCGCCACATTGCATCGGCAATGCAAGATATCAGATTGCTCTTGCTCACCTGTCTAGAGCTCGGCCCCGAGTCGGATTGCTGTGCCGATGAGGAGATTGAAGAGGTGTCCTGCACCGTGTTCGAGCCAATGCTTTGGAAATCTGCCCGAGGTGAAGGAAGGGAATTGTGCCAGGTCCTGATTGAAGACAGCTCTGGCCACGGATGCCGCCCGCCTCAGGGTCGCACAGCTGTGGCAAATCACAGAGGTCTGTCAATTCCCCTTGGGTACCGGCTCCTGCTGAGAACAGGACTCCTGCTTTGTACAGGACCTCGCTTTCCCACAAAACAGAACAGTATAGCTTCAAGATAAAATGACGCAGATTCATCTGACACTACTTTAAAAGCGCTCATGCGAGGATTAGTGCTTTCAATGTCATCATGCTTATAATCAGAAGCCCAATGTGGAAATCGCCAAAGCGACGCATCCCCAACTCAAATAGACAACAACTGTTGTTTGTGCGTGGCGCTCTGGGTTGCTGGCTTGGCAAGTATGAGGCTCTCCCAACCGCCTGACTGGTTGCGAGGCATCACTTGGAGTAGCAAGTGCAAGCGCAGAACACGAGCCTCCATCTTCATGCCAGATCTGAAGGCATGGCCGTAGGACGGACTCGGCAATATGCAAACAAACACACCGGGCAGCATGCGTGCGGTGGGCGTGCTCTGTGGTTGCGCCTGGACGATGTCACAGACTGAATCTCTGCCTGGCTTCAAGGGCTTGCACGCTGTTGGCAATCCAGCCACTTCCCAAAACAGGCTGCCCGCAACGGGATTGCCTGCAACTCCATATCTTCACGGTGCATCGGAACTCCCTTCAACTCCTGGGTGGCAAATGTGGCCGTTGCGCGGCGAAGGCAAGGTGAGGCCCACCGCGCGTCTTCGCCAGACTTCACAGTCCCCGCTCTTCCGCAGCAGAGCCTCAAACCGCGAAACTCGCGAAACGCGTCCAACACACTCGAGGAATCCACCTCTCGCCATTCGGCTGCGGTCTGCTGAAGGAGAATATAACGCTGTCTGACCTCACCGAGTCAACTGAGAAACGGTTTCCAGGCCCCATGCTGCCAGTCAAGGGTCGCGCAGCTTGCAACTCAGCCTCCCTGGCCGGAGCGCCTGCCTCCAAACGCAAGAGCAAGTGAAAATGTTTTGTTTAATCAAAAAATGCAACTGTTGCGGCGTGCCCTTGCAGAACGGAACGAGCAAGTTGTGCAAGTGAGAAGTTGGATAGAGAGCACAGCTCTCGAATTCCGATTTCGTTTATTCGATGCTGCTCTAGAGAGGGATATAGCAGGAATTCGTGAACACAGCAGCCTGAATGAAATATGTACACGTAACTGCTGCACACGTGAAAATCATGCAATGACCTAAAGATTGCTGCACCTCCAGATGCTGGAAGATTCGTGGACGCGCATACATTGCGGACCCAGCTTCTAGTCTTCAGCTGAAGGATCATCGATCACGGCTCATCATCAGAATCGAGGGGCTCGGCCGAATCTGGCAAAAGCTCCTCCACCTCTGCATGCTCTGTGGGCACGTCCGAATCTGGCTCTGGGGCATCGGAATCTGCCTCTGAATTGCCACGTCTCGCCAGAAAGGTAACGGTTCCATTGGAACCTTGAAAAGCTCCATGAACTGGGTAACCCAAAGCTCGCAGCATCGCTAGCATACGATCTTGCCTGTGGAAGAAGGGGCGGTCGTCGTCCGAGTCGGAGAAGTCTGATTTGTTCCCAGCTTGGTCTTTGGCGACTCTGTAGTACTCAGGTCGTTCCGGAAACTCCTTGCCATCCAATGAGAAGTATAGCTCAGCCCTGGCTGCAGCATTGCTTTCAGGCTCCGACCAAACCGCTGACACGCGGCGGCCCCACGCTCGAGTGGTGATGTGCTCTTTGGGCACACCTAACTCCGTCAGCTCCTCTGCCACAGCATTTGCCCGGCGTCGAGAGGTGCTGGTTGCGATGCCGTGCGGCGCACCAACGCCCGCATGGGCATCCACCTGAAGCTTCAGCCGAGGATGATACTGCATAAACAGCGCCGCCGCATGGATCAACTTTTTGGTCTCCTCCAAGATATTCAAGCCTCCACCGTATTGAAAGTACAAGTGATTCATGCTGTCCGAGGCACAAACCTCTGAAACCTTCAGTCCAAGTGCCAAGTGCTCCAGGGTGGCACATCCGTCCGCCCAGGTCATATCGTGGCCGCAGAAATCCTGCGCTCGGCGCTCTGCAAATCGTTTGGAGAAGATAATCCTCTCCAACTGCGAGTCAGCCTGCCCAAGCCTTGGTAACATTCAGCTCACCGGCAAAGAACAGGAAATGGCTTTCTACCGAGCCGCAAAACATACAAACACGTTGCTTCCAGGTTGTGGTCAAAGACACTAGATGCGCACCTTCGCGTGCGGAAATGATATGTTGCCTGACTTTCCGAAGCCCTGAAACATGGACCGGTATCTGCATGTGTGGCTGCATGTGTGGAAATTCCACCATCAACAATACATCATATGTCACCCCACGTTTCTGGAATGGCCGAAAAGCTTCAAGTTCGGGCAAGCTACCGCGCCAACAAGGCAGGATTGCAGCAGGCTGACCCCAAGGCATCCGCGACGTCCGGCAAGGACAGGCACACGGCAGCATTGCCTGCTCCGCTGCAACGAGCATTCGGGACAACTGGGTTTGTCAAATAGGGGAGCTCCAAACTGGTGGTTTCCTATTGGTTTCTCTTCAAACCAAATTCAAACGGATACCCACAAAAACACACACACACACACATCCAACTAAGGAAAAACTGTGTAAGCTGAGACCTCTGGCCATTCTACTCAAATGCATCGGAGCCGGCCTCCGGATCTAGGCTCTCCAGGGCCATCAGGCGGCCCGCCCGGATCCGGCTCCGTGCCCATCTGCAACTGTGCAATGCCAGCCCCAGAAACCAGAAGGCGCGCTGGCGGGCTGTTCCACGAACTTTGAGCCCATTCGGAGGTATCCCCGTGACCGAAACGCTGCTTCGCTGCTTCTTTCGTGGGGCCAACCTGCAAATGCGTCCTTTGCCCTTCACCGAAACCATTTGCCCTTCACTCTGAATGTCTTCCCTTTCTTTCCCTCTGCTCCGCTGAGCCCCTCTAACCCCCTCGCCAGGCAAAATGGTCGTTCACCGGCAAAGGAACAGAAAACCAAAACGGTTGTTTTCCATGGATCCGAACACATCCAAGCGTTCGGTGACCAGAGTATGTATCAAGTAATCTATGGTGCCATAGCTTCCTCTTTTGTGAGTTTTGCGGCTTCCGTTTGAAAGAAAAGACAAGATCGCAACACGATGCTTGGAAAGTGTCGGGAAAGACCGGGACAGCGACGGGAAAGGCTAGGAAAGTGACAGTTTGTGCTACACCCTACGCACAAAGCCACAATTTGGGCCTGATTCAAGGAATCAGTACATTTGCCTCTCCGGAAACCCATCCAACCCCGAACTGCCCTATGAATAACTCTGGTTGGGCCCCCAGCCATTTAAAAGGGAGTGTGTTGGAAAGCGACTGCAGAAACAAACCCATTGACCGCGGATTCGCGCCTCGACGGCGCGGAGCTGCTCGAGCCGCACCGCAAGCTCCAGGGCCTCCTGCCGCGCCTCCGCGTGGCGCTTCCCCAGCCGCGCGTTCTCCCGCTGCCTGCGAGGACACGAAGACGGAGTGGTTTCTACGCGACGTGCTACCGGCACAAATCAACAGAGACAAGTCAACACGGAAAAGAGGGAGGGCCCAGACGAGGAGAAAAAAAAGGAACTCGGAAGATACAAGAAAAAGGATGGGAAGCCAGGGAAGCCACTAACAAAAAAGAATGATGGTAAACTGTTAATGGAGGGGATGTCGGGTTGGTCAGCTCGATGCTTATGCTGCTGCTTTCTATTGGACATTAGAATCTATCCATCCTGTAGCCAGCAGCTTCTTTGTTGCATGCTTTCACTGCGGTATTACCGTGCCTCAGGCAGATCTCGCGCACAGCGTCCTGCAAGCAAACTGGTTGACTGGCTGAAGCAGACTTCGGGAGAGAAAGGAGCCTAACAAGGAAAGGTATTGGCACTGGCCTGATGCTCCCTGACGTAGACATCAGCCTGCGTGTTGATGCACAGCACAGACTGAGGCTTGAACAAAGCTAGCCTGCCACCTGGCAGCTGCCAGCGCAGATCGCAGCTGTTCGATCTCCTTGCAGACATCCGCTTTCCACAGGAAGCAAGCAGCTTCTGTGGTTTGCCTCCATGCTGCTGCGCTTCATCTCATCGATCTGCAAGACTCGAAGTCAAGCGACAGCTGGCAAACTACGAGTCTAGATGCATCACCTCAAGCTAGAACTTGTCTCCCTGATGCCCCGTGCCTGCGCTGTCTTGGCTTGCTCAACTTCAGCAACCTCGTGCGAGCTCCGATTCTGTACACGCAGGGTGCTAGTCTCATGAAGCCAAATATGTTCACTGCCTTCAAGGCATGTTCACAGCGCAGCTCCTCCATCTCCTGCAAGATTCAGAACGTGAAGACGTACAGTCATTTTCAAAACAGCACGCACGCATTTTGCCCGTGCTCGCCGGCAACATTTGCTCGTCTCGGGTCGATGACACAAGCAAGCAGAACAGCCAAGCGTCACGGAAGGACTGCGTTGCCTGTGTGTTTCACAGCTGGCTCGCAACGGCTTGGCCCGTCAGTCGATCTCGCTGAGCTGTGAATTCCACCATTGCCACTGCAGCTGTTGCGCAGCGTCCCACTGCTCATCTGTCTGATCCTGGACTTCGGACCAACAAAGATCGAAGCAACCAACCCATCGCTGCCTGTCTCTGGCGAACGTGCGAGAGGCGTCTCAAAGTCAGAGAAGTCCGCCGAGGAGCGCGAGGAACTTGAAGGCCCTCCCTAGAGGGAGCGTCCAATTGCACATACAACAAGCCAAGGGCGCTACAAGTTGAACTGCACTTTAACTCTCCGAACAAGGAGCGTGGCCTGGTCACATCCACCTTGGGGTTCAAAGTCATGGTCAGTGCACAGAGGGCACTGCGCACTAAGTGGGGCACTTCCGCGTGGTCAATGCGATGGACGTACAACTCGTAGGCTTCGTCCCGTATGACCAGCAAAGAGCCAGGCTCCAAAAGCACCTTTCAGCAACTCACGTGCTGATGCCAATGGGTGCTTCTACTTGAGGATGCGTCGAGAACAGACTCAAACGTACTTAGGACATCCAAACGAATCTCAGCATCGAAGCCCGACATTGAGAAGCGCTCTGATGCAAAAACAGAAGCACATCCCATGCCTCCAAGCGCGGCGGCAAAGCGGGATATGCCTGTGCCAAGCCCTTTTTCCTCAACAGCTCGCCAAGGACAAAGCATGCCCCACCTTCTTCTCAACCAGGCCAAAGTGCATGAGTGCTGGGCCCTCAAGAGTCACAATGGCGACCTCTGACTCAAATCGAGGACCATCGCCTTACTCAAGCCCAACATGCGGATAGTGCGCCACGGATGGTGCGCCAAGTTGATGTTTTGGCTTCACAATGAATCAGCCATGGGGCTGTGTGCATCAATGCCCTGACCAGGTGAGTAGGCATTGATCAGGCACTGATTCGGTAGACCTCCCGCGCTTTGCAAGCTTCTTTTGCGGTTCTAGCACACCACTTGAGACTGGAAACATATGCTCGACCTATGGACTCCTGGACAGTCTGGACATACGTTTCAGCAAACCTGCCTGAGAGTCCGCCAGCTTCCACCAGCTGAGCTCCGAGCTCACGGATCACTGGCGGCAGCACATCGCAAATGGCCCCGTCGGGGTGCGGCACGCCTCACGTTGCGCTCAAGATGCGCCAAGCATAGCCCGCTTCAAGGAACGGCGTGACACCCACAGAAAGGCCATCAAACCGGAGCTTCCACTCGAAGACTCAAAGGGATCCCGAAGCCAAGCGATGATGCCGGTGCCTCCCAGGCACAGCAGCCGCCGATTCCGGAGCTCCACCCAGCGCTCCATCCCATGCACGGTCGAGAGGAGGGAGGCCTGCGGAACGCGATCCGTGGGGGCCGAGGAGAAGCAAGACACGCGACGTGGAGCACACGTCGGCAATGGACCATCGCGCTAAGCCCAGTGGGCAAAGCCATGCGGGTGACAGTTCGTCTCTCTGCCTGCTTCTGGGCTGAGAGGTACCCGGGCACTAGGAAGAGGGGAAGCTTCTCGTGCACCCGCCGTTGGTGCCACATTGGCCGCACGTTGGCATACGGGGCAAACTCCTACAGGCTGACAAGAGCAGATTGTTCGGACCTGCAACTTACACATGTCGACCTCAAATGCAACTTCTCAATTGGAATTGGATTTAATGATTTAACCGAGCTCTCCGCTTCTGTTCGCTCCGCTTTGTCTTCCTCGTGCGCCTTCCACCAAAGCGCCCGCAGCTCGGCGAAGTCCTCCTCGAGTCGGGAGGCGCGAGCCCACGGCCTCGAGGGGCGGAGGGGCGGCTCGCTTGCGGCGAGCTCCGAGCTCCGAGGCCCAGGCTTCCCCATGACGAAGTGCAGCACGCAGCACGTGTCCAGAGGCATCGCATGCTTCGGGTTTCGCAGGGCATGCTGCAAGGCCTCGGAAAAATCAACATAGAGCCTGATGGAGCCTGATGGAGCCAGTCTGCCAGAAGCTTTTCATGCAGCTCTGGTACATTGAAGGTGGGCGGCAGCCGACGAACTTTTCGTCGAAAGAAAATGTTCAGAAAATCCTGCTCGGCGAAAGGCCTGCATCGCAAACAAAGCCAAGACTTGATGGTTGAATTCCACTCATTCTGAGACGTGCATGAAGACAAAGCCACATTTCAGCAGGAAGACGATCGGCTGCAGCTTGCCTTGGCCATTCGGAGAACGTCTCGCAAGCTCATTGCCAGGAGTCTGATCCATCATTAGAACCTTTCTGCAACTAGGCGCTGGCATGGGCCTTTTGCCGCTTGAGGCTGGCGTCTGCTCAACGCATCCATCATGTTGAGAAAATCTCTTTTGCAGGGTCGCAACAGAAGAACACCTGCGTTGAAGTAGAAGTCGCTCTCATCCGCATCTGGAGGGCTTGGCAAGCTCTCTTCTTGAAGGTTCGAGCAAAGCTAAAGCAACAGCCAAGCCTTTGGCAGTGTAGTTGCAGGACTCGCTTCGCCAGCATTCACAAGCTGGCACGGCACCCAACCTGAGCTCATTCCGCGGAAGCAAGCTGCAAATGCGCGTGTGCTCGCTCTCACACACACATATATCGGTTGCTCCAGAGGAGTTGCGGTGCGTCATTGAGTCATCATTGGTTCACACGAATCATCGTCGCAAAACGAGTAAAATCATACACTGAATTAGCTGAGTTGCGCGCTCACCTTGTGCTGGAATGAAGTTCAACAATGACCGCACATCTCCGAGGATCAAGGTGTCAGCATCCAAGTAGATGATGACATCATATTCCTTTACGTCTGCATTTCAAAATATGAAGAGGGCTTCTTGAAGCAAATGTACGTCCATGTGCAATTCAACAGAAGCACCGGCCAGCAAAAGACAAGTGTCCTCCAGCGCCCACAAGCCAAGCTTCTTCCAGCAGAAACGAAAGTTCGGCCTGGGAGAATTGAAGACGCGAAGGTGCTGAAATCTGTTCATTCCTGCTGCTTTCACGACCTGGTTCGCTAAGGCAGGAGCATCAGCGGCTCGCCGCTTGGCACTGGCACATCAGGCAAATCCGAGAGAGGTCGCCAGTGCACGCCTGCAAGCCACAAGCCGTCACAAATCAGGCCAGTCGCGATGTCGCGATGTCCCTGTCGGTGCCAGTCACCTGGAACCAGAGACATCTCCGCGTCACCGAAAACGACCACATCTGCGTCCACCCGAGAGCGGAGGCCGGCCTCAGAGGCAAAGGTCGATAAACACGAGTGCCCGGGAAGGCAGACAAACCCTCATCCCGTCTGGTGCAAGTTCGGCTGGGTGTCCATGATATCGAATGAATCCATTTCCCATCGGCATGAAAGCTAGCTGTCGCTTGAGCTTAGGGTCTCAAAAACCAAGGTAGGCAGGCAGAGCTTGGACATCGGGTCATGGTCATGATACGAGTTACCACATGCCACATGTGGCATGTGGACACAAATGTGGCTGTTTTAGCTCCCATTACAGCCATGGAACTGTCAGTACCAAAGCTCCCTCACGGTACTCAGAAGTGGCGAGCGTCACAAAAGCGATGCGCTGCTCATCTTGCCTGCAAGTGCGCTTGAAAGCTGAAGCTCACCACGTGTGAAAAAACAAAACCAAAACAAAAGCATGGGTATGGATTGCCGACACTGACAAATCAAAAAGGAGGCAACTCTCGGTGCATTTTTGGGGCGCCTCCTTCTTGCAGTTTGGGTTTCCGGGAAATTGCTTGGGAGCGCTTGGCGGTGCATGCCAAGGAGACGCTTGTGGCATCAGTTGCGGGAGCTGCCCACCAAGCGTGTGCTCTCCCAGTACGTTACTAGACATGGTGCATGGGACATGCAGCAATGGCTCACCAAGTTTGCCTGGAACAAAGACGCCTGAGTCAACATGCTGGCGCCTTTCCAGAAGCTGGATAAACTCATATTTCAATGGCGACAACGCGTCGAGGATTTCAGATCCTATCCTGAGGTCTTGGGTGAAACGTCCTCTATGGAAACAAAAAACAAGTGAGACATCTACGTATGGACGAGAAGACTCCACGAAGCATCATGGCAAATAAAGGCCATGGCAACAAGCTATATGCTAAAATAAAGCTAGAGTACAACTAGCTAAGGCTAAATGCTATTAACATACAAATATTTGCTGAGGAGACCCAGGTTTGCCCGGAATAACCCGTTGCCAAAGTCAGGTCGAATCAGCTGCGACTCGGGGATGGTCTTTGCCCAGGAAGAACTCGAAGTCAAACTCCTCCTCAAGATCTTCCTCCTGCGCTTCACTTGAGCCGCTCTCCTCTTCCAGCTCCAGCCACGTGATGCCCTTAGGCTCCTCCGCATTCTGCGGCTGGCTCCAGAACTCCCAGACACCCTGGCACAAGGTTCGGCTTGAATCCGCGCACACCAAAGTCAACGCCAGCGAGCACAGGGGCACCGCAGAGGACATGCTGTGGAGCAAGAGCTGCAACTCCTGCAGGCAGCAGAAGCCGCTGAGCAGCGCCACAGGCAGGAACGCGGCAAGCTCCGCCTGATGCTGCGACTGGGACTTCAGCTTCCTCTGCCGCTGGAACTGGTCCAGTGCAGTCGCAAAGCCCCTGCATACCGGCAAGAAGTTGGCGAGGTCTTGCAACTCCTCTTGGAGCCGCGCGGCCTCGTGCGCTTTCATGAGCCGCGCCGAGTTCTGTAGTAACATAAACAAGGCGATTTCGCGTATGTTGCAGGCAGGATCTTCATGGGTCGAAGCCTCCATGGCTGCAGTGAGTAGCGGCAAGAACTCCTCGAGCTTCTGCCGCTTTGGCGAATAGCTGCTGCAGAAAAGACTGGCAAGCCATCCGCCCAACATCTCTTGCAAGAGCTCCTCGCAGCCCTCATCCTCGATAGCTGCGACGGTGGCCGGACAGCAATACTTGAAGGAAGCGATAATCACCTTCACCTGTTGTTTGAGGCTCTGCTTGCCTTTGGTCTCGCGGTCCCTTTCGGGCACCAGCATGCGTTTCATTTGAAGACGGTGGTAGGTCTCTGATAGCAGGGCGTACGCCTGTGCCTCGGAGTCTGTGGCCGCCAGGAACACTGAGGCTAGTACGGCCAAGTCCTTGTGAAAACCTACCTCCACATTCTGAAGAGCAAATGCGGCCAGAACCCGGTACAGCTGATGCCGGCAGCCCTCGTATGAGTAGCGGAAGTGCGGCAGATGCAGGTGTGTGCGGCTGGAGGCTGTCCCCTCCAGTGCCAAAACCGACATAAGCGTCTGCCGCACATTGCAATTCAGCTGGCCCAAACGGCCCTGAAGTCTGAGGCTCCGGTACTCCTGTTGCTTGCTAAGGTGCACTTTTCTGTGCCACTTCAGCAGGCCGGCCCACGAAGGGAGCTCTGCCGAGTTCTCGATCGGATTGCCATCACCAAAAAGCATGGCCATGGCACGAAGTTCTGCGATGGAACGCGTGTGGGGCAATTTGCTCCTCACGTTCCAAGAGGTGACTTGGACCCGTGGGACGAGATATGGCAGCAGCGAATCTAGTGGATCGCCTGTTACACATGTCTGTTTACAAATAAAGTGAGAGACAGAGATAGAGACGGAGAAGCAGGGGCTGTCTGTTTGGCAATGTGCTTGTCAAACAGCGGTGGGTCCCCTGCAAGTTCGCTTGCAAAACTCTGCCAGCACGGAAAGCCGGCACGTTAAATTCTTGTTCTTCCCTGGTTGCGTGTTGTTTTCTTTTTTTTTTAAAGTTGCACATTTTGTTGAAGTCCCGACTCCTGACCCGGCAGGTGATTGATGCAAATCACTCCGCGGTGTCCCTAAAAAAGCAGGTTCGAGTTCGAGGATAAACCTGCAGATAACGGCCGTAGAAGCAAGGCATGCATGTTAACTTGACCGACCCCTCAATTTTCAGTAATAGCACTGGAGTGGAGCTGCAAAGATTAAGATTTGCAAAACTACCGCTAGGGCACTTACAATGTGCCATACGGTTTAAATTGAGTCATTGAATGAATCGGTCGAAAGAAAGCAAAACTGATTCTTGTTGCGCTTCGTCATTCACGCGAAAGCAGGGACGGGGAACCATGGCCCTCTGGCCTGCTCGGTCGGCTCGGCCCATCGTGGCTTCGGCCTAGAGAACATGGAAAAATCCATTTGCTTCAGCCCCATCAATGTGTGCGCTCCGTCCCACTCTGGGGAACGCACGCACCGGCGATCGAGAACGTGCCATGAGTCCATGCAGCAGCCATGGCCAATGGCACGCGTTCTGCTTGTCGTTGAATCGTACACAGGCAACAAGCTTGCTCGTGTTTATTGATGCCGCCGAATACCAGATGACACTTTGAATGAGACAATACCAAAACCCATATAATATGAATATAAGACCCCTCAAAGGCAATCACCTCTGTTTGCGGTTGGGAACGTGTCCTGTCACCCTCCACTCACCTGGGCCTTGGTTTTGACTGACTTTGAAGCCCTCGGTCTCACGTCTTGACCAGAGCTCTCTAAAGCAATCAAGCAAAGATGCCTCGGACATGGCTCAGTCAAGACTCCTGGTTGTGCAAAGACTTCAGCAGCGCCACCTGCAGATATTCAGCTGCCGGCAGTTCTAACTGCGAGTTCCGCCTCTTCCGTGTGCGAGGCTTCCAGCTGTGCGATGGCCCCTTCACACTCAGCCTGCCACAGGGAAGCAAGAGACATTGTTTCGGGGGCACAAACAGAGGTCTTGACAGTGCAGGAATTCCCCAAGGAATATTCATAGAGAGCAGCGGGAGCCAAGCAATCACAAGGGCCAGCAAGCAAGCACTTGCCCGCCTCATCATCCTCCAGCTCTGCAAGCTTTGGCAGACCTGGGCCGCACGTCATCCAGTAACTCCCGCAGGTGAAGCATGTCAACGGCTTGACCTTCAAGTAAGAGGCTCCCAGTCCGAATATTCTGCAAATCCTGGCATTATCATTTGCCGGGACATATGCATACGACAGATCTGCAGCAAGAATGCTGCCTTTCCCCAAGTCTTCATAAGCTTACTGCTTACTGCCTGGAAATAGCACCAGGATACCCACCATAACTGGCAAGTTTTAGTGACCGTCGTTTGGTCGGGGGGCCTTGACGTGTTCCAAGCCCTGAATTTCCTCCGCACACCCTATTGTCATCATTGGTGACTGCTTCAACCTGGCAAGGAACTCAACCCTAAATATCTCAGTTGCAAGAGGAAACTCACTTTCAACGGGCCTTTCCAAAAGTTTGTGTTTATCATAGAACAACCAAAAAGGGCAAATCAAGCTGGAGCCCTGTCAAGCAGCCGTAAGGGTTTGGTAATCTTTTGCGGGTGCACCAGAACAAACCGTATCTGCCTTTTGCTAACATAGGTGTGTCTGTGTTTCCTATATATATATATATGTCTGTATAGACATTGTACAGCAGCACTGATTCCCAGTCGTTGTCTGCTTCGCTTTCAGTAGCATCGCCTAGTAGCAAGCACTGCAACTCAATACCAATCAAACCTGCAAACCTCGATGGTGTGCTGCTAATCGGTATCGCCCTGCCCACCAGCGGTGTGGCGCCATCATTGTCTGCCTTCTCTTTGTCAGCACCAGCATCCAGCAAGCACTACGCAACTGCCTGATCGCTGCACCATGCAGCACAACGCTATTCATCGTCGGCCGCCTTCTTGTAATTTGCACTAGTCCTTTGAGGGTGAACCAACCAAAGCCTCTACTTGTGGTCGACACTGACTGAAGCAAACACGAGACCTGACTCGACAGCCCTCCGAGCTTCAGGCCCTCTCGTAACTCCTCCTCACATAGAGCCACCTCTTGCTGCAGCCTCGCCAGGTCTTCACTCCACACCTGCGCGCGCGGGTAGTGTGCATGCGTAATATTAGATTAATACCGTGTATACACACGCGTGTAAACCCGCATGTATGCGCGTGTCTGTGTCGTGAGCGGAGCTCCAGGCCTGGATTTGGCTGCGCAAGACCTCCGCTTCCATAAAACGGGAGATCACGGGGGCGGCCTCTTCACGGAGTTGCCGCACCTTGGCCTGCGGAAAATGCGTCTGGCCAATAAAAGATGTTGCGCCGGTCTGCCAGTCTGTTTGGTTGCATCGAAGAGTACTGGGCTCTTACTTGCCATCCGAACATGAGTGACACAATATCTCTAATCAGCGAGACCTGGATGTCACCGTCTATGATTAAACTTCTGGCAAGGCATGCCGAAGGGGTTCAGGCAAGGCCTTGGGTAAAGATGCCATTCTTGTACGCAACATAAAGTTAACCAGATTCGTGGATTCTCACTTGGTTCAGGCTTGTGCCTCGCCCATGCAAGCAAGTATGGCAGGGTATGGTATTTGCATTGGTCAGCTACGCAAGAAAACAACGCAATCCAAGTCTCATTGGCATGAACTGTTGCGCCTGTTCAAACGCTCAAGGCCAACGTTGCGAAAAGCGGCAGAGATTACCGCAGTTGCTCCGCTCATGGCCATGCTCACAGTGCTGGCTCCTGTGTTGGACACCATGCCGTTGTCGCCCAAGTCCAGGTGTAAAGACCAAAACCGGACACTTCAAGTGTCACAACATGAAGTCTTGCACTTTGCAAAGAATCCAAATCGAGTGCTGACTTTCACGCTCCGCGTTCCGTGCAACGACCGCAACGTGCGCTTGCGTCAGGCTGGTGGCCACCGCTATCTCACCGCTTTCTCTGGGATTCCTCAAAGACTCCAACTTCCATCGGGCTGCCCTTTCCAGCTCAGGGCCAAGAGCTTCACGTCGCTGGAGATAACTAGCACAAAGTACTGGAACGATCACCTTGAACCAAAGCTGGGCGGAGCGTCCGTTCATTGTAGACGCAAGCTTGCAAACCGAAACAAACTCTATCGTATTCTGCCGATGGGGACTATGATTGGCTGGCAGCTTTAAAATCTGCGGCACACAAATGCCCTTCAATGCTTTCTATAGCTTTATTCTCAGACAAACTCCGCAGGGCCTTCCATCAAAACCACGCTTAACACAAGTTCCTCCTTGGCAAGCAGGATCTCGAATTGTTTGCTTCTTTTTGCCACTCAAGACATGCATTCTGTGACGCCAACTGCAAGGTGAGCGCTGTGCTACTCAAACAACTGTTGAAGGTCGTATCTCCCATGTCAATGATCCCAGTCTCTAGTGACTCAACAGGCAGCAAACCTGGTAGCTCTCACAAGCACCAGCAAAACGAGGTAGCACTAGCGGAATTCTTCAGTTGCTCGCACACTTGAAACGGCCGCGCCTCCACCTCTGCGCAATCTTGCTCGGCCTCACAGGTGACAAATCTTTGTCTACGGGCCACGCTTCGCAATTGTCAACTGTCCCAACCGCGGCAACTCAAATTTGAGAAGAAGGCTATGTCGCGATCGCGCTGGGCACGAGCGGCTTTGCGCTCCAAAAGCATGCGCTTCTCCTGCAGTCACCAGGTGTGTCGATTTGTCCATGCCACTGGGAACAGAGCTAGGGGATACGAGCATTCCACCTGAAACGTGGCTTTCATCCAGTCCTCTAGGCCATCTGCCTTCTCCTGACGTGAGCAAAGCCCGCAGCCATTGACTTGTTTGGTTCTAGCATGGTTGTAAATGTCTAGCAATATAGGTTTATAACCAAGATCAAACCAGGCGCTCACATGGCAATGACAACTGCGGCAATGGCTGCATGTTTGAGCAAGTCCTGCAGCTCAGCCACCAAAGGCTCACTTTCGCGCAGCTGCTCTTGGAGAGACTCCACAGCTTGGCGCACCTCCCAGAGAGGCAACTTGGGCACGGCGGGTTGCACAAAAGAGAGAAGAAAAAAAAAGAGAACAAAAAAAAACGCGCTGCACGCGCGCCTGTCTGAAGACCAACTCCTTCGCCTCATTTGCCTCTGAGTCCGAGCCTTGGGTCGTCAGAGTTTTCAACGGGCTCAGGGTTCTCAAGTCGCACCTAGTGACAGCTGCTTGAGCTGCTCTACGCCTGGCAAGCCATGTGACGAAACCTGGATGCTTCTGCCGCGCCAGCTGCACCGAGAATGCTCGCAAGGCTTGGCTGAGTTGGCCCAGTGTCACCTGCCCGGGAATGCACAGCCGGCATTGAAAAGAACTCCATGGCTTCCAATGGAAAGGAAATGAGCTGTGACGCGCCCGAGTCTGAGCCTGGATCGTGCATGCAGCCCTTCCAGGGCCCTGATGAGAGCAGGGCTGTGCGAGGATTGAAGCAAGCCCTGTGCCAAGTGCAGGACACGGCCATGACGGCGGCGCCCCCGAATGTCAATCGTCTTTGTGACTCTGTTCAGCTGCTCAATGGGTTCGGAAATGCTGTTGCTGGCTCTGAGAATTTGAGCCCCAGGACTTTCTGCTGAATCAGTATGCATCTCGCTTTAGGCATGGCTTTGCTGCCTGTGTTGAGTAGCAACAGGTTGGGGCACATCACTTTGCCCAGATTTGAGCTACGCGTTGATCTGACCACAACTCCAATGGTGCAACTTCCTTTGCTGCCGTGGCAGTGTGGACGGGATGCAACATGTCGCAGGTGCAAGAGTTGCTGCATTTATGCTCAGATTTCAATGGGGTGTGCGTGAGTTTAAGGCTCGGCTGAGCTGAAGAAACGGGCTCAATGTATTTCTTCCTGGGCCAGCTGGTCCGCTTACCCCTTTTTCAGAGCCGCAATATGAAACCCATGCCCTCGGGTTGCCACGCAGCAGGCGTACAATCTCAAAGTATAAAAGCCAGCGCAACAATGTCCTTGTCTGGAGTGCGTTCCTTCCGATGCTGGGATTGTATCGTTTTGCAGGATGTTTCTCAGGTTTTTGGGTATCGTTTTTGGGGCTTCCCATATCGATTTTTCGAGCAAAACTAATTTACTAAAAGAAACACGTGCATGAAACACTCCTACATAAGGTGAACGACGGCAATTCTGAAGCTAACTCATATCAATTGTCATTGATTTGGCAAGCGCTGGGCTCAAAGCCCGAGTTTTGGGAGAGACTTGCTCAGACTATTGGGAATCCAGGGTCTTGCCTTGCCCCGAGCATCCCTCCGATGCGAACCAAGGCGTTGATTTCATTGGCGCTTCTGTTGCTCAAACTGGAGCGTCCATGGCAGCGTAGAGTCGCAGGACTTCCACCTGAGCGCACGGCTGCTGCAAGAGAGAGAGAGAGAGAAAACGCTGGAAAGTTGAGCCCTGCACACAGGTCAAGAACCGCTCCATGTCTTTGGGATCCTGAGTGCTGCGTTGCTGTGTGCTTTGTAGTTCAACCTGAGTCAACGGTCTCTCACTCTTCAATGCTGACACTGTTTCCCGAACAGACGTTGACGTTTCTCTCACTTGGTGCTAAGTACATTGCTCTAACACAGGCCAACTCGCGAAAAATGAAGTGAAGAAGCTTCAACCGGCACCCTTCAACAAAGCACCTCATCAAACAGGGACTTGGATTGTCTCTTTTGGTGACGTCCGTGAAACCTGTTGCTCTGCTCTGCCAGGCCCGTAGAGCCTTCATTACGACAGTCACGGACTGCGGAACGCGGGACCCAGCGCCTGCCGCGTCACTGTGTCACAGAAAAACAAGCCAAAAACGATTCACTTGCTTTGCAAGATACGACTGAAGAGAAGTGAACCTCGAACGGCAAAGTGCCTCCAGAGCTCAGCAGCAAGCTGCTCTTGAGATCGCCAGCATGCACTTTCCCAAGTAGCTCCTGATCGAGTCCAACCATCCAACATGTAGAAACTCCCAGCTGATCAGCCTCCTGCTCGTAAACTGGCAAATGCTGAATAGCAGTCAGTCGTGAGATCCAGGGGAGCTGTACCTATCATCTTCTGCTTCAACGCATGCCACATGGGTACGGATCAAAATTAAAACACCAGGGGACCGCAGGTTTTAGTGTGTCCATTTTCCAGGGTTCATTTTGGGTCCCTATTTTTGACCCACACCCACATGAGAAGCTGGAAATGCAAGCAAAGCAATCAAACGAATGCAAGGTGTTGGAGGCACTTGTGCTAGAGCTGACCCACTCGAGCGGCCAGTGAATTTCAACCAGCTCACTGAGTGGTCGAGCTTGTACAGAGCCTGCAGAGACAGGACCAGCCCTTCTACATTTAGCCAGCTCCAGCATGTCCAGCCTCCACTTTGGTCAGCGTCTTTCGCTCTATGATTGTACCTGTAGTTCCCCAATTTCAAACGGTCTGCAAGTCAGGAACCAGGAGGAGCACAGTCCACTCCCTTCAGAGCATCTGCGGTGAATTTGTGGACCTCGCTGACCCTCTTGCTTGTTTGCTCTTTTTGCACTCTGGGCATAAAGGAACCTATCTCCACCGAAACGATCACGAAGTTCAAAAGCGCTGAGTGAGTCACAAGCTCCCGCAAACGGTCCTTCTTGGTCCTGCCCAAGGGGCAAAACTGACCTTCCGGAAAACACAAAAACTCCCGGTGGCTCACACGAGAGCTGAACTCTTCGCTCCTGTCATCTTCCTCATCCGAAGAGAAGGATGCAGCTCTCGCCTCAGGGGACACTTTTTCCCCGACACTCGTCTGGCTTGCACCACACCTCAGCGGAAGGAGCTGATGATCCCCATGCCTCGACACGGGCAGAAACAGAAGACGTTCTCATGTTTCTGGCGCCTGTCCAGGTGAACAGCTGCCAGCATTGCAGTAAGGCCTCAGATCGCGTGGAGCTTGTCACTCAAGGCTTCTCATTGCCGCGGGCGACGTGTGAGGCTGAGGAGCTGGCGTTGAATGCCTGCATACCATGCAGGAGGTGAAGAACATCGCTGCGCAGGCAGCATCCGTAAGTGACCCATGGAAAGCTGCCCCAAGCGCGATGTGCTCTGCTTGTATGGCTTGTGGCTGGTAGATGTTGAGCTTATAGTAACTAATGTGGTGCATTGACTCTTTGCGGGGCTGTGCATATGCTAAGCCAAATAAGGTGGTCCAGTCCGGGGAGAATGCAAAAAACAAGTGCACAACGCTCAATGACAAGTCAGGTCTGAATTTCTGGCCTCGTGATTTTCTCACAGTGCTCGCTCCTCTGAGGTGCCGGAAACCATTGCAAATGCTGTGAAACGAGTACTCGCTAGGTATGTCGCGAATATGGCTTGACGCTGCCAAGCTTCTCAATCTGCAGCCGCTCACTTCTGGCCGCCAAGACTGCTTGGCGCACCTGCAATCACACTTCAACAAGAAACTTGAAGTTCTGTCTTTGCCAAGTCTTTGTGCAGACATCGACTATGGACCCCGTGCGAAGGCCACGCCTCTGCCATCTCTTTTGCTCCCACCTCGCCCAGGCCAACCTTGAGAAGACTTAGGGATTCAGCTCCAGGCTTAGCAAGCTGCAGAGAACAGGTTTGTCTCAAACACACGGGATCCCCAACAAGCCATACGTTTCCTTTAAGTTTCCCTTCCACACCCACAATCGCATCCTGGCCAGGGCACTCCCGCCCAAACCACTTCAGGCCGCACATCTCGCAGCGATCTCACAGCATGGCTCTTGCTGTCCAGCGCAAATTGCTTCTCTGGCATGGTATCTGTGGAGCCAATGAGCCGGGGCTTTCCGGCAGAGTCACGGTGTTCGTACACTGCCTAAAAGCAGGTGCCACACTCAGCTGATAAATGTATACTGCATGCATTACATTGCATTAGATTACATTTTTTTACATTGCGCTACAGCACATGTCGTGTTCATGTACATTTACATTTACCTCTACCTTATCATTTACATTCACAATACATTCCATTCATGAACATATGAAACATATTATGTATACAAAAGCATGCACTAAAGATCGAAATCGAATATCTCAAAATCCAGACTCTGAGGTTGGTACACCAAAGTGAGCCCCTTGGCTTTCTTCAAGCTCGGTGACGCCTTTGGATTTTCCTGACAATCGGGCCAAGCTACCCATCCTCGCCGGCTACTGCTCAATCAGCAAGGCCCCATTGGTGTCAGCAAGGCTGTGCTAGTATCAGTTGCACGTAACACTGGGTCGAGTCCTGTGTGTATGTGTCAGAGTCTGAAGTCTGAAGCCATGCACAACCGGGCAAGCAATTTCTGCCAACAACCTTCAATGCAGGGTGCAACTGAATGTGATGGTCATTGCATCGCAACCGCATTCGGTGCCCATCACACCGTGCCTGTGTCGGCTTTGCGCTGGAATATCTTGGCCACAGTGCTTGCTGCAACGAAATTGTCTTCCTGTCTCGTGACGAAGTATCAGCTGAAGCAACTTGACTTGGCTAGTCTTTTCTCATGCACCTCTCCTTGGAGCCGAGTGCTAACAAATGCCGAGCTCCATCATTCTTCAACGTCATGGCAACGACACCAGACTCATCGTTCCTGCGACGGCTGGGAGATTGACTCTTCTGTCTCTGTCTGTGTCTGTGCCCGTCCGTGCCCTTTTATCGTCCTGCACTTGTGCAAGAACCTGCAAATGGCTCCGCTCTCTGTCACCGTCTTGAGCGAGAGGGCATGCCGGCTCTGAGCTTTGGAGCTCTGGGCCATGAGAATCCCGCTGCCCTCAAAGCCATAGCGGCAAACAAATCGAAATGCGGAGAACTCCTTTGCTTTGACACACAAACAGACGCACGGCCTGGCCCTGGTTTTTGCCAGGTCTGCACGTCACAGAGCGCTCTTGGCTCGACTAGCTCGTCTGTCCATCTTTGGTGATCCTCTTCGCCGTGTTCGCGCTGAATCAGACAGCTTCCTGTGCACCTCTGCCACCCGAAAGCTCCAAATGGCACCCCGTGAAGGCTTGGAGGCTGGTACTGGACGTCATCGGCCCATGGTCAAGGAGGCGCAGCCCTGCGGCACGGCCGGGCACGGCCCGGCACGGCCCACCGGGCTCACAGGAAGTCGTGCTGATCCTAGACATTCAAATCGCAGAAAGTGCTGACATGCTGCAAATGGCAAGGAAAAACAGTCTCAGAGCTTTGTGCCTCGCACCTCACATCTGCTCCCACATCTGAGGCTCGGTCTGTGGGCCCGCTTGCCACGCATGCGTCAGCACGAGAGAGTTCAGCGTGAGGCTCAGACATCGCAGGCACCGTCGCCGTCTCCTGAGATCTTTGGCTCCAGCCAGTTCTGCCACTTCCGCTCAAATGGGTCAGGATGGGTCAATGGGGAGAATGACTCTGAGGGCCGTGCTTGCGTGGGTCCTGCCGCGTTTAGAGAGAGACAAGACCTTCCGCACACTTTGCCTGGCCTTCGTCCGCGAGCGGAAAAAGAGCCGGGTAGATGCCCAGGTCCATGCTGCAGGCGTGGCGCTCCAACCGGCTTCAGATTTCTGGCCCTGCGAGCCCTGCCTGGCATTGCCAAGCGTTCCGAGGGAGTCCAACACGTTTGCACCTGGAGCAACTGGAGCAACTGGAGCAGTTTGGAGCATTCAGATTGACGCTGGTCTCTGTGCTGGCCTGCTGCCAGGATGCCAGAGCCCACGCCCAGGACACCGCTTCCCACACCTGTGTGTAAAACAGGCGGCACCGGGGGCTAGGGGGGCTGAATGTAGCTGTGCTTTCCTGAACCAACCGGGTGGGGTACCTCATGCTTGGGCCCGGTAGCGTCTGGGACACTGGCTGACGGCTGCATCCATGCCGGTCAGCACAGCCTGTGTCTCACTGCGCTGTTTGTCCACCGTCACGCTTCACTGTCAAAAAGTGTTTCGTCCGCGGCAGAATGGCCCCTTTTGTAGATACTGCCCAAGCTACTTTGGAGTTTCGCACATACATATGCCGAATTTCCTGCAATGGCATCCTGGAAAATCCAAGGATTTGCGGGGCTAGTGCACTAGTCAGTGTTTCGGTTGAGTCATGTTTCAAACATGCGATGCTTCGTGAGCTTGTGCAAGACAAAGACTCTTTCTGTGCCCCAAGTGTCAGCGCCCTCGCAGAACGCACGCTGCGAAGCTCAGAGCCGGGCGTCCAAAGTTTCGGTGCCAAGCATCGAATCCAGCGCTGTCAGAGCTCGTCCGAGCCTGGCGGTGAATTTGTAGCACCGTTTCCCAACAGTGCCACAGACCTGAGTGCTGACAATTCTTCCATGATCTCGTCGCGCACCAGGATGTGCGTCAGCTGCCTACGCTTCATCCCGTTTCTGTACCAAAACGACAGTGGCTGCAAGTTCTTGCAATTCCTGAACTGCCGGCCTGCGCCTGTAAGGAGACAAGCGTAGCACCACCCTTGCCATACCCAAAGGCGACACTAGAGCCTGAAATTCGCCGACCGCTGCCTGGGAAAAGGTGTCAAGTCCCAAGCAACTGCACTCCATTGACCACAACATGCTCTGCCTGGCCAATGCTATCCAGTTCGTCATCTGCTAGCCTGCAGCTGAAGCGAAGATCCAAGTCTATCAGCATCATACTGAGAGTGTGGCGGTGTCAAGGCAGCGAGCAGGAGTTGATATACACGGACACCTGCACCAGCCCTTTCAAACACATTCAGCAGTTTGGTTTGAATGCCAGCCTCAGTGGCAGGGCTGCTGGCTAACAAGTGAAAGTCTCCAAACACAAAGTGTCCACCACTCCGTGCTCGCCTCTGGCACATCTCTCAATATCATTTGCCTGACACAAATCTTCTGAGCACAGGCCATGCTGTAAACAGAACACGATCCGCCTCGGTCGCATCTTCAGCAACATCCTGCTCCTTAGCATGCTCTCATCACAGAAGCGCATCAGGACAATAAGGCACTCACCATTCGAAAGGTTGCTAGCTTAATGTCGATCAGCAAGGCCAAGTGTCGTGCCTGCGCAAATCAAGTTGCTGGAGGCAACAGCAATGCTTGGCGTCTCGCCTGCACTTGCAAGGGCAAGCCGGCAAAGCCTTTGACAGCAGTAGCAGTGAGGGAGAGTCGATCATCTTGTGTTAAGTCCTGCACCCCAGCACTCAGGCAACGTATTGCTGGCAGTAACCAGTCCAGCCATTCCCATAGCCACTGTGTCAGCTGCTGCTCGGCCAGATCGGCATCCATAGCCTGGGCCCAGAGCTGTGCCGAAACGGCTTTTGAATTCGGAAAGTAGCGCCTCGGATCTCCTGCACAACAAGCGCCGCATGAGCCGGAGGAGCACGCGGCTGACCTCTCGTGCAACTGTGGGCGGCAGCTTCTGCCAGTGCCAGCCTCGCTGGGGTCGTCATATTGCGCCAATTGGCAGAGGGCCGGAGGCACATCCTTCAAACATCGCTGACATGTATCGCAAGCCTAGTGACGTGTGACATGCATCGCACCCAACATGAATCACAATCCAGAAAAAAATTAAAATGTGGGATTGACCAAAGCATGGAGAAAACTCAGTGTGCTACTTTACCACGAGACTGGAGGTATTCCGCGTGAAGACCCCAGCTTCGAGCTGCATGCCTCATAGGCGTTCTCTGTGATGGCAGCTGTAGGGATTACCTCTGCCTATTGCAGCTTTGCAGCGAAGCATCAACAGAATGTGAGCAATCTTCAGGCACCGTTGCCTCAAGCTGGCCGACATTGCCAGTCTGTTGCTGCTCGGCTTCTGCCTCAAGCTGTGTTGCGCTGGAGTCTTGCAAGTCCTCGTCAAAAGGACTCAGCCGAAAGGGGGCTTGTCTCCAAATAAAAAGGGGGGTGCTGTCCCTTGGGTTGCCCTTTGACATACCACAAGGGTACCCTCAAAATAGGATGAA